CTTTTTATTTTATTTTTTTCAGTGGGCCTAATCCTCTTCCATATTCCACAATTTTTGCCATTCTGAATGAAATTTGCTCTTAATAGTTGATTGGGTTTTCGCTCCCGTCTGCTTCTATTTTAATTTAATGTTTTATTGCCCCCTACTGGGTTGGATTATGAACTAGCGAACAAGTCGACAACATTTAAAAAGATATTTACAATCCATACCGATGTTAACCCTTAGTCAGGCTAAATAAAAACAATTTAGAGCCACAAATGTTATAAAATATTTTTAAGGAATAGGAAAACTTAAATATTCTGATATGGGACATTCACATTTGTAAAAAAAAATTTCAATTGATTGTTTGACTTAATTGATCTCACAGTGGAGATATGTACTCGTTACATCAGCTCAAATAGTCAGAGAAGAAGAATTTGCTAAAAGAAAGAAAAACTTGCATGGATATATACAGTATATACAGTGTGTCCACATATGACAGCTTTTTAATAGTAGGATTATTATTCAAGGTTATTGCACTGGCTGTTTACATAGGTATTTATATATATATATATATATAGTTATTGCACTGCGTTTTAAATATAGATAAAACAGGTTATTCCACAGGGTATCAAATAGTAAGTACACATTTTACATTGCACAAGTTATTGCCATTGTAGTGCCGCATTGTAGACTCTAGTTGCAGCAGGGATGAATGACCTGCGGTTGCACTCCTTTGTACAAACAGGGTGTAAAAGTCTTTCACTAAAGGAGCTGCTCAGTTCCTTTACAGACTGGTGCAGAGGGTGGAAGGTGTTGTCCATGATGGATGCAAGCGTGGACAGCACCCTCCCCTCAACCACTTCCTCCACTGAGTCTAGAGTGCAGCCTAGGACAGAAGGCCTTTCTGACCCGCTCTGCGCTGCCAGGGGCCCAGCAGACAACTTCGTAGACAAGGGCTGATGCCACCATGGAGTCATAAAAAGTTTTAAGCAGGGGCTTGCTCACTCCAAAGGACCTCAGCCTCCTCAGGAGGTGGAGGCGGTCCTGGCCCTTTCTATACAGGGCATCGGTATTTGAAACTCCACACAGTTTCTATGTTTGTCCCTGGATGTTCACAGGGGAGTGAGGTGGGAGTCTTCTCCTGAAGTCAATCACCATCTCTTTGGTCTCAGTGTTAAGACACGGGTGGTTTTTTCTCACACCAGTCCACAAAGTTCATGATGATCAATCGATACTCCAGCTCGTTCCCCTCAGAAACACAGCCTGCTATGGCTGAGTCATCGGTGAACTTCTGGAGATGGCAGCTGTCTGTGTTGCGGGTGAAGTCTGAGGTGTAAAGGATGAAGAGGAACAGGATGGTGCCCTGGTGGGGGGGGGGGCAGTACTGCAGACTGCCACCTCTGACTGACAGCCGTGCAGCCGCACGTATGTACTACGTATCTGCTTAAAAATAGCACATTACTTACAGCCCAAGGAAGGAAATAGACTATTTTTTTGTTTTTGTTTGTTACTGCCATTTTAACAGTCATTCTGTTATGGAAATCCAAAGCATTCATTCCATCAAAACAAATACTACCATAACTTAAGTTATTTCTATTATCATTATTATTATTATTGTTCTTTAGTGTCACGGCTGTTGTGAGAGGTCAAAAGAGCCACTTCCAGGTCCGGAGCACTATTATATAGTGTCACTAAATTTGTTTTACATTGAACTTTACATTGATATAACTGAATATGATTTCATAGCCTATACACATTTAAAGATACACACAAAACAAACGAACAGATGATGTTGGACTGCATCAATATACATTTTTTATTACTGCTTTTATTTGTAATGTTCATAATACTCAACAAAACAATGTCAATGTTTATGCAATGTAAGTTATGTAACGGAACTAGTAAATATATGTACTATTTCTACTGTAATTATTTTTAAGAGCTCCAGAACATCTTGCAACATTAAACTTTTCCACTATTTGTTTTGAGGGGAATAAAAGCAGTTCCTCTCTGCAGCTATCCCTCTCACTCTGTAGGTATTCCTTAGTTTTTTTCCAACAGGTTTGTATGGATACAAAGGCCAGGCCAGTCAGACCAGTCCCTACTACAGGAACTATGTATTTATGATGTCAGACAAGGAACTAAGTATATATGATGTCAGACCAGTCCCTACTACAGTAACTTATTATGTATGATGTCAGACCCCTCCCTACTACAGTAACTAAGTATGTATGATGTCAGACCAGTCCCTTCTACA